GTATTCATTATAACTATCTCCGCCCAATTTTTTCTATTTCCATCACTAGGAAACAAGCTACGCACTGTAAACCATTCGATGAAAACGAGTAGTGTAAGACCGTTAGCTGTTTTATCATTTCTTCCATCATCCCTTTGGTTGGAAACTAATCAAAGACTTCATTACACACAATATGTGGGAGTGGTAACTGTACTATGAAAATAATGTACTTTTTTGTTAAATAAAAAAATACGGGTATACACAGGAATAGACGCCAATTGGTCATTTACAGAGATAAATGTAAATAGTTTACCCAACTATCCCAGATAGATTTTATCACATATCCATAGAACCAGGTAACAAGCCAAAAAGAATTTGGTAGAAGTTCCAAAGTCCATAAAAAGAATAGTTACAATACAAACTACAGAAAGAATTGTTTACAAAGAAAAATTTCAGCCGCAAAGAACCTACGGATATCTCTTACTTTGAGAGAAAAATAAAGAAACTAGAAAAGGAAAGTAGGGTTTATAATGTGGGAGATACCTTGAGGGGAAAGTTATTGCTTATTGGGTAGCAAAATGCACTGGTTCTGAGGACATTACGAGATTCACCATCTTGCTCCGGAACTCGAAGACAGCAAAGTAACATACCCATTGATCCGAATCAATGGACGTCACCGGTAATTTAAACACAAGGTTATACTTAATGAACACGCAAGAAGCAGAGAAAATACAGGACAAGGGAAAAAACAGAGGAACTTAAGGAAGGAAGAAAGAATCAGTTAAGCATGAGAAAAAGCAACAAACGTTGAAGATTCTTTAGAGAGTATCACAGGGCATCTTGGAGAATTTGTGGGAGATATTTTGTGACATGGTTGGTTGTTTGACTGTTTTATAGCATGTTGACTTATTTTCTGCAATTTCCGGTTTACTTATCCCACCAAATTCGTTTATCGTATCTGCTTTTATTCCTTAAGTATCAGAAAAAGTCAAAAAGTTGTAAATTACTTGAAAAGTTGAACTTTTTTATTTTTAATATTTTTAAAAAATTAATCATCAGTTTGCAACCAATATGATAATCACACGGAAAAGGAAGATATAAAAGCTGGTTTCGAAAGCAAAAAAGGAAAGATAACTATGGTGGTTAAATACTATCATGGCAAATTTTAACTACAAAATTACTGATTTTGCAAGGTGGGGATTAAAGGTCGCTACCTAATAAAAATATTAAATTTCTGATTTGAAAAGCACACTAATGTTCATTTCAGTACTCTCACTTGTTAATGTTAGATACCAAACAGCAGTAAGGGTTTTTCCAAATTAATAAACAAAACAACATTTAAAAAAAAAACATTCTAACAGAATGATACAGCAAAGCAGTAAACTATTCCGTTTCAATGGCGTTTGAGTGGGTGCCCAAGGCACTTGAGATGTTTCCCAAGATAGTCAAGCCAGGAAGACTGAACCTTAGAGGAGTGTTTTCTCCTCTTGATATTGATATTATATTCTAAAATATCTAATAAGAAAAATATACAATGTTATTGATTTATATAGTTATTGATCTGTTTAGTTAATGAGACTATATATGTTTTTAAATTATATGTGATGGACGAAAAAACTGAGCTGAGAAACATCCATAATTTACAAACTAAATTTCCTTATGTATGTGCCATGAATAAAAAATGCTTATTATATTTGTAACCGAATACTTGAAATAAATCAAAGAGTTTTACAAATTAAAAAAAGGGATCACATATTTTTACTATTTATTATTTTATGTTAGAACATCTCCAAAAAGACATTCTATTTTAGAGTTTGCAAAACTCTATATTTAAAATTTATAGATGTTATGCTCCAAAAAAAAACTTCAACTTTAAAACTTTTGTATTATACTTTGATCCTTATATTTGTCATAACTAGTTTAAATTCATAGAACTTTTATAAATAACTAGCACATATATAAAACTATTACAGCAATATTAAATTGTAAAATATTACACTAAAATATGAAGTACTAATAGAAATATATAACTAAATATTAAACTATAAATAAAATATTACATTAAAGTTTTCTAATATTGTTGTTTTCTAGTTCTAATTTCAACTATTTTTAATCTTATCTTATTTTTTTTTTGTGAAAACAATATGTGGAAAATTTAAATTTATAAAAAAAATTGACATATTAACGAGATATGAATTTTTAAGGGTTAAAATGATAAAAACATAAAATATATAAGACTTATAAATATAATGTATAATTGTAAGGACCAAAATGCAAATAAAAATATGAAACTTCAAATTTGAAGTTTTGAGTAGCGACACTCTATATTTGAAGTTTCACTACTCAAAACTTCAAATTTGAAGTTTTAGAGTTTCTTTTTGGAGAACCAAAAACTTCATATTTAAAGTTATAGAATGTCTTTTAGAGATGCTGTTACAGATCACAAAGTCAGTAGCAGTAAACATGCAGTTGACATGAATAAGTGTTGGGACCTACCCCTTGATGATGAGTGTTGAAGAAAAGGGCCAACACTTGATGTCTTATAATAAACCAAAGAGTTCAGATATCATTGTTTCAAACACAAAGCAAACAAGGTATCATAGAAAAACTGAAAAGGATGAGAGCTTTTGGAGAAATATGTACATCTCTTTCTCATTGTATTTTCTTTACTAGGTCAAGGTGCTCTTCTCTATACAAGTACTGAATTACAAAGTAACAAAGAATGTCTTACATCTTGTTAATTATATGAGATTAGATGTGCTTCTCCTAATTATCACTTGTGGTACTATAATTTACTAATTCTCAACATAGGAATGTATATTAGATAAGGTGCACATATTTTTCATTGCAAATTCACAACAAATTATATCCATGGATGTCGGTGCTATGTTATTTATTCAAAATACTATAGAATTAAAGATTCCAAAATGAATGAAATTGAGGTTTTCTGTATATATAATATGTGGGGAGCTACCAAAAGCAGAATCATAATTACACATTATGATAGCTCTTAATTTCATTTACTTTCTCCACCTTCTTATATCATCTTATTGTCCTACAATTGAGAAAAGGAGGGAGAGAGAATGGGGAAGAAAGGAGAAGGGTTCTTTCTAAACAGATTAAGGGCTCATGTAAGAGTCCAACCACCGACGACAACGAGCCACCATAGCTGCAGCCAAGAGCCACCAAATGCATCCACAGAGTCAAAAGGAAGAAGAATAATGGTTGTGGTTGATTCTTGTGCAGAGGCTAAGAACGCTTTGCTTTGGACTCTCTCCCATTGTGCTCAACCTCAAGACTTCATTCTTCTTCTTCATTTTCTTAAAGCTAGACCCTCTCAATCAGGTCACTTTTCCCTTTCTAGTTTCCCACAAAATTGATTATTATTATTATTTATTTTACAAATATGCATGATTTGTTCTCTAGGGGCTTTAGCTACCGGGGAAGAGGAATCTTGTGACAGATATACAACGTCGAAAGCTTATCAAAAAGTTTCAACATTGAGAAACATTTGTGAGCTAAGAAAACCTGAGGTTCGCAATATATCTCTTCATCATATCATATATTACTTGTAAAACGTTTTACAGAAAGTACATTTATCAAAATAAAAAATGTTAGCAATTCCTTATAGATGTATCTTTTTGGGGATATTTTCTCTCTTGAATTTCTAAAAAAGTTTCAATCAATAATTTGTTGAGTTAGGTAAAGACAGAGATGGTGGTTGTACAAGGTGAGGAGAAAGGTCCAACCATAGTAAAAGAGGCAAGAGAACGTGGAGCGTCCTTACTAGTTCTAGGCCAGAAGAAACAGCATGCCACTTGGAGGTTACTAATGATATGGGCCTCACAGGCCAGACCACTGACCAAAACCGACACCGTAGAGTATTGCATAAACAACGCTCCTTGTATGGCTATTGCCGTTCGAAAGAGAGGCAAGAAAGTTGGTGGATACACTCTCACAACTAAGCGTCACAAAGATTTCTGGCTTCTGGCATGACACTATTATTTACTAGTATTTTTATTCACGTAATAATTAATAGATCTCTCCCTTTTTCTGAAAGTTGTAACCTTTACGTTTTAATCATGGTTGAGAATTTGTGTATGCAATTATTCACAATTCCTTTGTTATTTAAGATATGGTTATAATGTTTTCACCAATATTAAAAATGTATTAAAGCTTGAATATAAATATACTCCCTTTTGTATTTTAAAATGAGTATGATGAGCTTTTAGAGGTTTGGCCGTTGACGGGAATGTGCTTTTAGAGGCTCAGCTGTTGATGGAGCTTTTGCCGGAGCATCTGGAAACTTCGATTTAGAAGCTGCTAATTTATTACTCGGAAGCATCATCTCTATTTTCCATCGCCGGGGAAACAAGTTCGTTTGATTTCATCTAGACGAAGAGTATGCTTTTTTCTCAAGTTTAAAATTAATTTTCTCTTGGCCCAACTTAATTCAGCCCAAATGGTTTGATTCTTTACACGATATTTGATTTAATTATTGCATAGTTTTCAAATTTACAGCATCAAAGTGTAATTTGATGCTCTGTATAATATTATCCCTGGTTTTGGAACGCGTTAGGCGATAATCGGATGACAATGTTGAGTCTAACGTCTAGAAAGAAAATCAGACATCTTTCTAAGTGATTTTTCCTATCTACATCATTTACATATTTAATTATATTACTAAGATTTATTCTAATTTCCCAAACTGAGTAATTCTAAACATTATTACAAAGACAATTACTATCCAAGATTGATCATTGATCTATGTAATCATGTCTGATGGTTGTCAAAACAATAAATACTGATTATGGAGATTGATCTTTGATTTGTGCAACCTCCCATAACAAGAAAAAGGTTTCAACCTCAAGTCGTTAACTGATGACTAACAATGCCCTAATTAGTAAATATAATTATGCTATCCCTGATCCAACCTTTAGAAGGGGTGGTCATCATCTTCTTGGATTCAAAATTGCTCGTAAATGCCATGATGGATAAAACAAAAATAATAAAAACTTGGTGGAATATTGTATCATTGAACAATATATTCCGATACTCAATAAGAAGACAAATATAACATTACTGTATGTACAAATATTAATAAATGATGTTAACAAAATCATCAAGATTCAAGAAAGAAGAGAGGACGATCCTCATCACCGTTCTGAACGTGTGAATCTCAACAGAAACATATTTGAATCTAGATGATGAAAAATACAACTAAAAACCAAAATGATCAAAAGGAAAGAAATAATGGAACATTAAGGAAAAAATGTAAAGGACCTAAGAAGAGATTGAAAAGAGAAAAAGAGTCAATGAGAGGTGGTGGAGGGATTAGGTTGAAGCATTGAAGGAAGGACGAGAGGGGACAGTAGAGGGATTGGATCTCTGCTGTTCTGACAAAACGTAGAAGTGGAGACGCTAGTGGCAGGAGGAGGAGCTTCTGTGGAAGGAGGAGGTCTTGGTGGTAATAAAAGAGGACATGGAGCTCGTCTCTGAAGCCGGCAGCTTAGAGATCGCCTGAAAATGGAGTCGTCTTTGTGAAAACTCATCTCAAAACCTGGAAACGGATCTCCTTTAAGCCCTGTTTCCTCCATTTCTTCTTCTTGATTCAAATCAATAATGTATGAAGAAAATATTTTTGTGTGTGTGTGTTGTGGATTGGTGTTTAGGGTTGCGATGTTGGTGCTAATGTTGGAGTTTCTTTATTTTTTGTAGTCTGATTATAAAGAGGCAGAGATTGGGTAATTAGGGATTGCTTAGCTTGATGATTTTAATAGAGTAATTAATTGACTGGTTTTAGTCAAAAAAAAAAAAAATTAATTGACTGGATAAAGAATAACAAACTAAGAAAATCTGTTTCCATTTAAAAAAGTAGTAATTAGACAATGGGTGGAAGTATGGTGCGTGTATTGACTCAATATGGCAAACAAACAAACAAAAAAGGAAGCAAATCAAACAAAATTAGTCAACGGTCAATAGATTAGATATGTATGAGATCTATCATTGATTTTGTTATGTTTACTGTGTTTTTCTTTTCTTTTCTTGTTTTCTTACATGTTTCTTATAATAGATAAGGATTGATTTTGGCATGAGGAATGCGTTATTGTTGCTGTAATAAACCTGTGACCGCGTACGGCTGTCTTTTTAGCTATTTTCCTAGAGAATTATTCATCTAGTTTTCATTGTAGATATTTTTAAACAAAATTTCACGTAATTTAGATGTTTTATATCAAATAGTACTCCTGAAATTATATGAGCCATTCATATTAAGCCAAAAAAGTCAAACGAAAATGGTTTCTCCTATCGTTTGAAAGATCATACGAGTACAAAATCTTATTTAACACTAAAATGACTATTGTAAGCATAACGCCTAGCAAAAACTCATTTTAAAGAAAAATAGATGATAAAAATAGCTTATTTTATTAGAATAATCATTTTTATTTTATTTTAATTTTGTTTAAAAATATAATATATTTTACTTTGAAATAAAAGCGAAAAATATAGTAAAGTTAAAAATACTCCAAACCGTTATTATAATGGTTTTCTACTGTTTTTACCACTAGAAATGGTTCTTTTAGTCATTATTTCTCGTATCTTTAAATTTAGACTAATAAATTTATTTTTAGTGTTAAATTATTTAGAAGAAAAATTATAATTATTAAAATTAAATAATACAATTTGAAAGCCATAATCGTCTAAAGATACCAAAAAATCGAATGATTTTCTGGACAAATATTTAGGAATTTAATCCAAACTAAAATAAAAATAAGCGAAATGAGGTTACACGAAGTAAAACAGATTATGACTTTTTCATATTTACAAGCAGAGTTGAGATCATAAAACTATAAGAAAAGTCTAGTGAAAATTATATTGTATATATGTAGAGAACGTTATGTAATTGTCTTTTATATATATTTTGTTTTTATATCTCAACATCATGTTTAACATTTCCATTTACTCTGTTTGATTTACCACTTATTGATATATACTTCAAAGGATTCAACTTTCACAAATCAAAGTGATGATTTATTGCTATTTTGAACAAGTCGTAGTACACTTCACGATAAACATGATCTAATCCGACCGTGTAAGTTTAACCGTACCATTCAGTTTGTTTAAATCCGAATTTGCAGCTCAACTTTGTTTTGCATCTCTTTCTTTTGATTGTCTTTTTACTTTGTTCATACACCTCCAAATAAACATTTAATAGACATAAATCAATGGACCATGATTTATTTTCTCACATGGAACTGCATAAACTGCCTATATGCATGTGTGATCCAGCAGTTAAAATAGGCAACTAGCTGCAAACCCATAAATTAAAAATCTAAAAACAAATCCCTGAAACTTAGAAAGTTTTTTTCATAAAAAAAAAAAAGCTTAGAAAGATTTCCTCTGCCATGAAGTATCCTCAACCCACACACAACAGAAAACCATGTATTTAATTGGTAACAAGGGATACGAGTCACATGCTAACATGTTAGTTTAGTATGTATTTATGAGAAAGTTTAGATAAAAAAAAAGAAGAAGATGTAGCATGTAAAATTAACAATGAATGTGAAAAACTGGGCGGTGTTATAGAATATGGAAACAATAGTCTTTTTGTGGTGGGGGGAGGTTTCTCTATGTCGGTCTCTCCATGTGACTCACGAATCTATCACGCACACACACCATCGACATAGTTTCAGTAAACATGCCCCCATAAAGTTTTCAGTGACACCCTCACATGTTCTTTTTATTATACCTTCCTTTATACTTATTCTGTAAGATATTTATTCATACATTCTCTAACATATCAATCAATAAAATTTGATAATTTTTTATTTGAAAGGATTTTTTATAAGAAGATTGATTCAAATATTCCACCTTGTTGGTAAAATAATACAATATGAGTATCTAAACAAATTGGGTTATATTATCATATTACTTTCTACTTGAATAGACTAATGTCACTTGGCACTTGCATGTACTATTGTACTCTAGGGAGGATGTATCCAATTTGGGAGGGTTTTAAGTTAACTAATTTGACTACTTAAAGAGTTTTTAAATAAGTTTGATAGAGTTTTTTTTTTTTTTTTTTTTTTTTTTTGCAATACCAAGAGAGGGCCTCTATTTAAGTCCTCAACACTCTAAAAACTATGAAATTTTAATATTTAGGTTGTTAATACAAAAAAAACTTAAAAACATTTTAAATCACAACAAATTTCTAAAAAAACATTATTTAATTTATTGTCAATAACAATAAACTTTCAAATATATTTTAAAGTTACCAGTTCAGTAATACTAAATTTCAAATGATCTTTTAAAAATCATAATTTTTTTAATAACTGTTAATTTGACATTTAATATAAATCACTTTAAATTTTCGGATTTAATACTTTTTTAACCCTGTTTTAGTTTCGAAGTGGGATTTCGAAACTGGCTATTAATAGGAGATGTCTTCGTTCCATAATGGGAGAAGTCTCATTACAGTTTTAATTTCATATAGTATTGTTTAAGGTCTTGAAAACTTTCATTTGACATTTAACATTTTAGGCGAAGAAGAAGATTCAATTGAGATAATTATGAGACTTTGATGATATATACAGAAGAGGAGGTTAACAACTTAACACTTTAATCATAACACGTTGGATCCTAGACCAAGATTTAAGGTATTTACAGATTCTTCTCAACTTAAAAACCTAGAGGAGACTTAAGGTCACAGCCTAAGCCAACATGTTCCTTCAAGAGTAGGACCGAACCAAGCCAAAGTTGACGAAAGATTTGGATTTAAAGAGACCCCCAAAGAGAAACCTAGTCGGGGATTCTTGTGGAGACGGTTTCTCTCTTTGTTGTTGTTCTTTAGGCTTGTTCTTGACTTTGAGGATAGTTTGGCCTATGGTTTGTCTTATTGAATCTATAGTCTTGGCATCAATTGTGTAGCCAGAAGCATCACTGACATAGAATGTGTTCAAAGCTTTGCCTCCTTTGGTTTTCACTTCAGCTCTCGTGACCGTTAGACTGTTCTCACGGAAAATCCTAGTCACATTTGACAATAAGCCTACTCTGTCCGTTGTGCACAGTTCCAACTTCAATCCCTATAACAACATTTGAAAACAAGACACTGATCTTAAGTTACAGTTACTAAAAAGAGTAGACTACTGTATGTATATGGTGGGTCTAGTCTACCTCAGATACTCTTCTTTTGATAGCTGCTTCAAGACATTGTATGACTCTTTGCTTCTCTGCCTCTGACTTTACCGGAGACCCATCTATATGTCTCACATAATACTCCTGAAACACGCAAAAAAGACCCATAAGAGAATGGATTCAGGGGAAGCTCTATGTTCTATAGTGTGGTGAGATTTTTACCTGATATGCCTCTGTGCCTTCAGTATCAACACTCCCATGGAAAACCACATACTGCATATCAGTCAAAGTGCAGACAGTATCAAACAGAAGCTTTGGTCTGTCTTTACATCTAACTGTGACCACAGAGTAATCCTTATCAAGCCAATTATCAACACAAACATCTGGTCTCTGCCTTTCATCTTGCACAGAGGAGGAATCATCGTCCACCACACGGTTCTCATAGTCTCTATCTTCAAACATCATCTGATGAAGCCTCCTGTCCGTGTGTACCTCCCCGTGAGACACAACCGTTTTGGCTTCCTTTGGTGTGTTGCTTCCCTTGAGCACATTCCTGAGGAGGCTTTTGATCCGTGAGAGCCTCTCTGGATCAGAAACTGCACATCCGGTTAAGTCATCTGTCACTTCCATCACAGCAGCTGCTCTTGTGTTGTGTGTCCAAACCTCGGCGTTTAGGACACTGCATTTGAGGTGGGTCAGGACTGCTGTCAGTTCAGACAGCAAACCTGGTCTGTCACAACCGGTTAACTCGATAACCGTGCTGTCTGTTGATGGTATGACACCAACGGATCTCAAGGAAGTGGAGAAACAAGCTTCAGGCCCAAGAGACTGAGAAATTAACCACAACATATACTCATTAGACTCATTGGCACATGTAAGAAGAAGAGAATTCAAATCTTGTAAAAAGAAAACTCACTTTTTGGATATAGTCCAGAACAACTTCATCAGTGACTTTGTTCCCATCTTGGTCAGTGACATTAAATACTGCCAAGTGCAGACAGAGCATAGAAACAGATTCAGTTCCTTGTTCTTAAATAAGAATATTTTTTTTTAAAGATAATTGAAAAGTGATGAAGCATTACCATCCATGAACCAACCACCATCAGAGGATATGTAAGCTTTGGTGATAGTAAGGTCAAGATCAGTGAGGATTTGCACAACTTCAAGTAGAATCCCATATTCATTTGCACTATCAACCTGTGAAACATCACAACAACATGTGTAAGAAAAACAAAAGTTCAAGACTTCATTGATATAACCAAAAGATTGAAAAGAAAGATAAAGTACCCTTATCACAGTTGCCTTCTTGCAAGAGTCATTATCAATAACAACCCTAACAAACAAACAAAAAAACAGAGGTTTTATCCAAAACCATATCAGATAATGGTTTTATATATAAAAATAAATAAAAAGGGAAAAGAGAGACAAGTTGTGTAATAATACCTGGGTGGATTCATTCTTCTAA